CTGTGTAAACGAAGTTTGTTGGGAGAATACATCCGGCCAGCCTCAGTTATTTTTATTACCTGGTCAGCCCAAGGGCGTTTGTGTTCGCCTCCTTGATTTATATAAACTATTTATTACTTGAACTTTTACATAATTTGTGTAAAGACCTAACAAAATGTGAAGGCCATAGAAAAATCCCTCTTTTTCATTGAATCTTTGGCTCGTGGAAGCACATTGACCTGAAGACGTTGGGGTCCGACGCATGAGCTACTTGGTTGCTGAAAATATTGCTCTCCATATTCATTCATAGAAACCAGCGGTATACTTGCTGTTTTGTGTGTCTGTGTGAAAGGGGTCACGTAGCTGTCTTATCCACTGGCACATGGGCACCCTGCTTGTGCCAAGTCCATCAGCAGAGACCGGAGCATAAATCACTGTGTGTCAACATCATTGCGGGGGAAAAAGAAAGAAGAGGTTCGGGTACACAGGATAGGCGCGTCCTGTCACCAGAAAAAGTGCAGGGACTTCTTTTTGAAAGTGAAAATACAGTAAACAGCAGATAGTCCGGCACCGACGGACTGTGGTCTAAAATATCCTAATCCTTCCAGATGTACACGACAGCCTTTTCTGGCTCAGTTCTTTTTCCGCGAGTCGAAGTGCACTGGATGAGAGTTATAAACAACATACCAGGTGAGTGACAACGGCCAGGGTCTACTTAGAAACGGAGAACGGTCCCGTCTCTCCTGACTCTAGGCTGACATAGGTGGGCACGCTGTGACACGAGGGGGTGCGCCAAGGACCCAGTCCTGTGAGCAGAGAGAATACTAGCTTCCTAGAGCGCCTCATGACAAACCGGGTGGCTTTAAACAACAGACATCTATTCTTCGACAGTCCTGGGCGTTAGAAGTCTGAAACCACGGCATCAGCAAGGTCTTGTTCCTTCTGAAGGCGTTAGGGAAGACCGGGCTCCATGCTGAGCTTTAGCTGCCACTGTTGCCCCCAGTCCTTGGCATCCTCAGCTTGTAGATGCCCTGCTCTAGACTCCACCTCCATGGGCACCCGAGTTCTCCCTGTGTGTTTATGTCTCTTCTTCTCCTCTTCCTTCTTCTTCCCATTGCAGACTAGGTCCCTCCCTCCCAGATGTCCCCATCTTAGTTGAGCACATCAGCAAAGTCCCTGTTTCCAAGTAGGACTTGGGGGTAAGGTAGGACTTCAACACGTCCTTTGGAGGGAGCAAATCCACCCTTCACAGAGGGTCACTGAGTTGGCGCTTTGGCTGGACTCTGGCCCAGCTGCATCTCACCTCCTCCTGCTCCCTCCCTCGCTTCGGTTTCTGAGTCATCTGTTTTATCCTCCTACCGTGAGAAACTCGTCAGAGTCCGTTAGCTTTCCACGATTTACACGTGTCTCTTAGCATGGTTGCTTCCTACCCCAAACCCTGGAAGTGGAACCTCTTGGCTGGAACCCACGAAACTCTCCTCTCGGGGACGCTCCTCCTGCTGCCGATTCTTCTCGGCAGTCCCTCCAGTCACGTTCTCGCAGCTCTCCCACCCTGTCATCTCTCACCCATGTGCTGGAACCTCATCTTTAGTAAGTTCACTTTAGTCTCTGGACTTACACCTAGGGAGCTGAGGGTTGCGACAGGAAATCGCCAAATGGTCACCTGGTCAACTCCCTCTCAAGTTCTGCGTAGAGGCATTTCATCCCATTCAGAAGATCAAGGCTGTGGCATCACCGATTGCCTCTCGTTCGTATCCTTTTCTTAAACTTTCTGTGTAGGTTTTTGCCATAGGTTGAGTGCACTCACTAGAGAGTGAGAGAGGGAAA